CCACAACCAATGTATGATTGCTCTGGTCTTAAATAAGTTGTTTGACCTGCAGCCCTCTGTCACTGGGAGGAAATGTAAGTCTGTCTTTGGTCAAATAAGGCAAGGTAGATATGTAGTAGGGATGCACATATTTTAAAAATTACCTGTTTAACCTCCTTTAGTTGTATCGGTTAAATGGTTAACCAATAGCAAGTAGTTTAGTGACCTCTGGCAGGAACAGCCCTGGCTGCTTTTGTCTTTGCTATGTACCCCAGGCTGCTGGTGGGGAGTCGTAGGGAGGGGGCAGCAGGTGTGGCCAAGCCATTAAGGGGAGCTGCCCATTGGCGGAGTTGTGCCTCCCTCTCCCCCCGGGCCTGAGGTTGCAGACCTCTCCTGTACCTGGATCCTGCTGCCAAAGGGAGCGGGGGAAAGGAAGTGCTGTGCCCCCTCCTTCCTGCCGCAACAGTGAGACTCCTGGCCCCATGACGGGTCTGCCTGCCCGCCTCCGGCAGCAGGGGCCGTATAGACAAGCCCAGTCTGAAAGGGAAATCTGCACATGAAACTCACTGCAACTCCCATGACTGCTCTCTCTCTTAAAACCATCCCTACTCTCACTGTTACGGACATAGTATCTCTACTCAGCAGCTATGGTGAACATGCTCAGTCTTCCAAATTCACACTCTTACCCTTTTTCTTTTAAAATATTGAATGTTAAAAATGAAATCAACATTTATAGATAATAGCAAAATTTACCTCCGTAGATGGGGAAAGAGCAATGCCAGATGGATCTCTAATAACCAGCGGTTTGTGAGTTGGAAAGGACTCAGCATAAGGTGGTATGGAGCTACTAGAATTGAATTCTGTGGAGCCCTTCTGGCAGCTCTTAAGTATAGAATCTGTCCTCTTTTGGTGATGTTAACACTTTGTCACAGCTGTATATTTTGAGCCATTAAGGGAAGCATGAGATTCCTTGCCCTAAACAGTGCCTTACTGTCACTGTTCCCTGATGAGCACAAGGTGTTCAGTAGCTGATTAAATCCTGTTAATGCTAAAATCTGTATACAGAAAGTGAAGATTAAATTGAAGACACTAGGTGGATTTGCATTATACAAAACACTTCCCTGCTAATCCTTGTAAACATGCGGTGTTTGTTCCTTCCAGATAGCTCAGCCCCACCCACTGTCCTGGTGGACACTGTTGGAAAGCTTTGTAACATAATTAATGAGAATGTGAATGAACAGGTCGAGCAGCTGCTGGGGACCCAAGACATCCAAAGGTATTTGGACTTAGAGGTGTCACTCTTGAAGTATGAAGCAGAGTAACTCAGAGAACTGGTTAGGACTGCTTCTCATTTTGAGGACTGGATTTCAAATGACTGAACTTAAGTCAGTGAGGTACTATCACTGCATACTAAGACCTGGATGAATGTGCCAGAGAGAGCTTGCACCAGAAAAATGAGAGGCCAGGTTGTAATGAAAAAAATAATAATTAAGGACAACATCAAGACTGAAGATTTTGAAAACAATTTCTACTTAAGTATGTAGTATCTCTAAACCAATATCATGTATCCCTGCTTATGTGGGAAATGAAAGACATCAAACTGAAAAAAAATGCTTTTGCACAATGTCCATATAGTCTATGGCAGACAAGGTTCTTTGGGTAAATGTGATATATTTTATTAGATCAACTAAATAGTTGAAAAAATTGTTCTTTGCAAGTTTTTGGGCACAAATACCATTCTTCAGGCATAGGGAGAGTCTGCTGCTGTTTTTATTCTCCTGGATGGAATAGAAGCCAATGGCAGTCTTTATCAGTATATGTTAAGCAGTGTTTTCCCTGCAGGCATAGATTCATAGATTGTAGAGTCAGAAGGGACCACAAAGGATCATCGTGTCCGACCCCCTGCCCCAGGCAGGGAAGAGGGGACTGAGGTCAGATGACCCCAGCCGGGTGTCTCTCAAGCCTCTTCTTGAAGGCCACCAAGTTAGCTGATAGTACCACCTCTCTTGGAAGCCCATTCCAGATTCTGGCCACCCTTATTGTAAAACATTTCTTCCTAATGTCTACTCTCCACTAGTTTGCACCCATTATTCCTAGTTACTCCTAGGGGTGCTCTGGTAAATAGCACATCTCCAATTCCCTGTGGTCCTTCCTTGATAAACTTATAGGCGGCTACAAGGTCTCACCCTCAGATGTCTCTTGTGCAGGCTGAAGAGATCCACATCCCTCAACCTCCCCTCATAGGGTCTTTTATGGAGGCTACTAATCATGCAAGTAGCCCTCCTCTGAACCCTCTCCAGATTCCCAGTGTCCCTCTTGAAGTGCAGTCCCCAAAACTGGACACATGGAATTCCCTAGCTACCTGCTGCCAGATTTCTTGTACCTGAAACAGCTAGTACTGGATGGAGCTCAGGTGTTATGCATAGTGTGTATGTGCCCATACAAACTCACCACACACACGCACACAAATGTAATTATGCCATTTACTCTTCTTAGGTGCATGTAGAAGTATAGGTAGAGTATTATATTTAAAATAAAAAAAAAAGCTTGCTTCCACTGTGGAACAGTTCTGACTAAGTTATAATTGAACCCCAGAACACACAGCAGTTTTGGCCTGGAGGTTTTTAGAACCTAAAAATGTAACTGTTGGTGGGGGATTGCCCGTCACAGTATGTAAAGATAAGTAGTGTCATTTCAGAAACTCAAGACTCAGATGTGGCAAAGGTCAGGACCCATGTTTGCACGGCTCCTTTGCAGCCTCTGATTGTGACATGGTCTCCCACATGAAGGACTGTAAACTTGCTATAATTTTTTAATTGCAGTATCATCAGCAAACTAGAAGAACATGAATATTTCTTCCCAGCTTTTCAAGCTCTTATTCAAGATTTGCTTTGTGTTTTAGGTAAGTCATTTTCAAGAATAGATTGCATTGTTTTGCACAACAGAAATCCCTCAACACAAAATGACTTCAAATGGAAACTCCAGGGTTTTTGTGTACGTAGCCTTATTTTTCACAGGCTCTGCTTCCAGATACGGACAGGTGGGGAGCAGTGCCACTATCAGGTTTTGCCTCCATCTCCTCTTCCTTCTCACCTCCCACTGTCACTTGCATACCAAGCAAGTACAGCCAACATGCTAGTCATGCAGCTGACTTGCCTAGTGCAAGAGTGCAGAGCATAGCACCAACATGGGACAGGCAGGGTAGAGCGAGGAGGTGGTGCTCTCCTCTATGGCCCAAGCTTCACCTAAATCTTAACCATGCTTTTTTTGCAGTTCTCCTAGTGTCTCCACTGTCACCTGCCAAGGTAATTTAGCATCATTCATAGCCTATTTCTAGTCGCACATTTCTAATCTAAGCTTAGCATGTTTTTAGTCCCGCTTACTGGCTCATTTGGGAGTGTAGGCTATAACCCAGAACTGTTAATGCCCTTGATTTGTCATGTGGATGTAATCTAAATCAATTGTACTGAATTCTTCAATGCCTTCCCACCCAACATCTGCTCCCAGAGACAGACAAGTTTACCTCAACTTGCTAAGACAAAACAGGAGAGTCTCACTTCACAGTATCCCCAAAGACTATGGGAAATATCCCCAGAAGTCCAGGGAACATGCATGAGTGAGTGCAGCACCAGGGACAATCCAGTAATTCAGGTGTGGCTCTGCAACAAGGCTGCTGCCATGTGGACTAAATTAACCCAGGGTCAGTTCCGCAGTGAAGACGGACCCTTAAGCTAGTTACAGGTGAGCCCCTTCCTAGCACATTTTTAGATCACTCTATTGGTGGAGAAATCCTGTTACTATTTACAGTAAGACTTATTATAGAGAATACATGCTATTGGCAAAATTTCATTCAGCTGCAGTCACTGGGTTGCAAGACACAATCCTCATGGACTTTTATAAGCTAGCACTGAAGTTATACCTGGTCGGTCTCACAGCCTATTGTAAGAGGGCACAATGTTAGAGCCTCTGTCAGTTTAGTGCAATAAGGACTACGAGGAGTTTATTCTCTAAAACCAATTATTGATCACATTAGTCACATCAAAGCCAGAACTTCTCGGTTCCATATACAACTGTGTGACTGCTGTACTTCTATTTCAGAAATCAGTAACCTGGATGATATTTTACCTACCGTGCGGAACCTGAAGCTGCTAGCTAGGTAAAACGCCACTCTTGGTAGATCTGACTAATGAATGTGTTAATACTGGATTTACAGGCGCTTCCAACCTGTATTTGACCTTACTGTACAGTTTTAGAATATTTTTTACTAAAATAAATGTTTGCTTAGATGTTACCACTGCTGCTCTTATTTACTTGTTAGTTGTGAAAGCACAAATGCACTAGTGACTACAAAGAAAAGGAATAAATACAAAACCTAGCATTAATCCACTCCACTCCAGCAAATCCATCTCATACAAATCCTGATTAAGACACTGCTCCTTCAGCATCTGAATGCCTGCCACACACACTTGCTACAGAGAGCTCTGAAGTACAAGACTTAAACTCATGAAAACACAACTAAGTGTCTTAGCCATAGCTTTTACCAGTGATTAAATTACAGCAGAAAATACTTCAACTCTGGAAAGCTGCAGTCCACTTCTGGATCTACGAATTAAAGACAACCACATACTCACTGAGTGCTGGAATTCTGTATCCCTGTTTCGAATCTTGAAAGCTGTGCTCTGGAGGAGGGGAAAATAGGAGGTGGATGTTTTGGTGTTTCAGGAGATTGAGTTACGACGGTTACCAGCTTTCAACTTTAATTCCCACTAAACGAAATTTAAAACTAGTGAGTGTTGCATTGGTCCAAGCATAGCCACAAATGAAGTGACTCTAGCCATTGTGCAGGTAAGGATGTTGCTATGCTAGCCAGCAATGTATTTTGAACATTAAGTAGAATGGGATTAGCTGCCATCAGCAGATTCAACAGTTAGGCTTAGCTTCCCACATGCACATTCAGCTCTCACAGCCAAGGTCTTTAGCACTTAAACAAGTGCACTGTAGGAACTAAACAATAGGTCACGTTTGCTCAGTCTCTTGAGCAATTTGTAAATAGTTTATTATACAATTCTGAGACTTAAACATACTGAATGTCTGAAAACATTGGCATGTTTCCCCCCACATTAATAAAGACTTGCTTACAAAATTATAGTCCGTTGTTTCCAACATGGAAATCTGTATTAACAAAGCTCACAAGACTTTGAAATGTAACCATAATAAAGAATTAGACTTTAAGGCGTTACCATCTGGTTGTGCCAAGATATCAAAAAGTTTATACACTTCCCTGCTGTTGGTGAATCATATTCATACCCATTTCAAGTTAGCACCTGCAATCTGCTTTATAAAAAAAAACTCCCAGACAGTAGAATATTAGATAATTTTCTTAGACTTGTGTAGATATAAATTGTAATTGCTTCTTTTGGAGTCTCTTCAGTCTTGGAAGTGAAGAACAGTATTTTGAAAACCCATGATCTTGCTAGTATAATTTCAAGTATGGTGTCAACAGAACATGAACTCAGAGCCTTAGGGGCAGGGGATTCTCTAAAAGCAAAAACAATTGGTCTTGGTGTGCTCTTGGCACTCACGTAGCCTCTTGAGAGTAAACAACTGTAAATACACACGGAGGCTGCTTGTTAAGTTTCTTCAGTGATACCAGTCATGAGTCAATGCTGAGGTCATGAAAGCTTCATGTTACACATTTACATCTAGTCTAAATTTAAAGGATTCAATCCATCTTTTTTTCTACCTTTTCCAAAATAACCAGCCACTGAAAAAGGTAGTTAAGCAAACAAATCCAACACCTTTTGCCTTCAATATACATAATAAAGTTTAAAATGGATTAGTTACAAAATATACATATATACATTAATATAAAGCATACAAATAAGGGCACACTGAGGACATCATTGCCTGCTCTGTCCATTCATTGTCAGCTCATACCTGCAAAAGACAAGCCAGCAAGGATTATTGTTTTTGAAGACGTGCCCTGTATTTGAAAGAAGCACCTTTTCCCAACCTTTTAGCCAGCCCCTAAACTAGACTGAACACCATGGTCTATGTACTTTTAACAAATGCACTCTACAGGGTGCTCAAATTCTTCATTGCTTATTTCTGTAGACAACACAGCAAAGAACAGTGGAAATGGAGGAAGAAGTGGCTTTGCAGGTGTATACAGCAGTGCTACCTCCTTGGTCTCTATTGAACTCTCTTGCCTTGCAGCTTTTCGATGAACTTGACAAAGGTTAGGCCATGAGTGTGTTGAGACCACTGCCTATTATCCTTGCAAATACTGCCCCTTTGCTCCTATCTGTATAACTGTTTGTCTCACATATAGATTGTAAGGCACCTGGTATTTCATCTAGCACAATCTGACTGGGTCTTTAGGAACTGTGTGTTAAAGTTAGATATTCATTTCTGGAGCAGCTGGGGAAGAAAAGCCTGAATCCACTAACTTTAGGGTTCGGTAGAAACTCTAGAACAAGAGGCTGCCTATTTCACTGAAAATACAGATATAAGCAATCTTGGAAGGTATCAAGACAAGAACTTACCATTGTGAGAAGCCTTTGATTATATCTTCTTTTGACAAATCAATCCGTACCTTTAAAAAGTAAGCCATATTTTATAACTAACATTCAACTTGCAAGTCCACTAGAAAAGTTTAAAATGGGTCCTTGTTACTACTGCTCTTCTCCAGTCAGTTCTAGTTAAAGTTCTGGAAGTACAGCCCAGATTAAGGAGCTGAGCTTGAAGTCTTCTGGGAGCACAGCACTGAAGATCAAGGATAGTACAGCTAATTGAACATTTCCCTTTAGGATGGTTTTCAAAATGAAAAATTTACCGTCTGCAAAATGTAAGTTTTTGTCAGAAAATGTTGATTTATCATCAGGAAGTCACTCAAGTGCACAGCTCCCCTACTCCTCAGGAGTTTTCTGGGGAGCCCAGGTTTCCAAACTCACCAGCCAGAGACCCCAAAGAATATATTCTGTTTTAGAAATGCTGAAAAACACCCTGGCTTCCAGAATTTCTCAGTGTTTCTGAGATGAAATAGTGTGGAATATTTCGTGTGTGCCATGAAAAATATCTGTCGGCGCGGGGGGGGGTCGGGTCTTAATTTGAGATGAAAGCAGAAAAAGCACTTTTGTTTCATTTGCAGAAGTGAAATCCAATTAGCTTTACTGATCAGTCCCATACCCTGGTACTGCAGTTCAACAGTGGGCAAGGTCTCTCAAATATGGTACAGCAAGCAAGACAGTTTTAAATAAGTATTATAGAGAATTCAGATATTAATGGTTGCACAGGTAGCATTTCAGGTTTAACATGTATGACACTGAACAATAAATATTTGATGGTTTAAACTTACTTTTCCAAGTTCCTTTCTCTCATGTGAAATGAATGGCCTGCTGTTTTTCACTGCAATGTCTAGTTTCCGTTTCCTAATGTCTTCCAATGATTCAAAAAATTCAAATCTTTAAAAAAAAAAAAAAAAAGAGTTTTAAAAGTGTGAACAAACAAGAAACTAGGATCAGAGCAGAATGAGTGTCAGTGGCTACCACAAACTAGTCTTGCAGGGATGCAGCACAGTTCCATCCTACAGGATCTCTCTCACCCCATTCTCATTAAGAAATTAGGCAACTGTGGCGTCAATGCCTACATGGTCAGATGGGTCACAAATTGGCTGGAGGGCTGCACCCAGAGAGTGGTGGTGGATGGGTATTTTTTGACCTGGAGGGATGTGGGCAGTGGGGTCTCCCAGGGCTCGGTCCTCGGGCCCGTACTGTTCAACATCTTCATCATCGACTTGGACGAGGGGGTGAAAAGCATCTTGTTCAAATTCGCAGATGACACTAAGATGTGGGGAGAAGTGGGCACGCTGGAGGAGAGAAACAGGCTGCAACTAGATCTGGACAGGTTACAGGGGTGGGCAGATGAGAACAGGATGGGATTCAATACTGACAAGTGCAAGGTGCTGCACCTGGGGAGGAAGAGCCAGCAGCACATCTACAGGCTGGGGAACTCCCCTCTCGTCAGTGCAGAGGCAGAAAAGGATCTTGGAGTCATTATTGATGCCAAGATGAACATGGGCTGCCAATGTGGGGATGCAGTCAGGAAGGCCAACCACACCTTGTCATGCATCCACAGATGTATCACAAGGTGGTCCAGAGAGGTGATCCTCCCCTTCTATGCAACACTGGTCAGGTTGCAGTTGGAATACTGCGTCCAGTTCTGGGCGCCGCACTTCAGGAGGGATGTGGACAGCATGGAGAGGGTCCAAAGGAGGGCCACCCGTATGGCCAAGGGACAGCCTCTCCCTACGAGGAGAGGCTAAGGGACCTGAACCTGTTCAGCCTCCACAAGAGAAGGCTGAGAGGGGATCTGGTGGCCATCTACAAACTGGCCAAGGGGGACCAGCAGGCTATGGGGGAGTCCCTGTTCCCCCAAGCACTACCAGGAGTAATGAGGAACAATGGCACCAGAAGTTGACAGAGAGTAGATTCAGGCTAGATACCAGGAGGAACTACTTCACAGTCAGGGCGGCTAGGATCTGGAATCAACTTCCAAGGGAAGTGGTGCTCGCTCCTACCCTGGGGTCTCAAAAGGAGACTAGGCAATCACCTAGCCAGGGTTGTTTGACCCCAGCGCTCTTTCCTGCCATGGCAGGGGTTGGACTTGATGATCTGCTCAGGTCCCTTCTGACCTGACCAACTATGAAACTATGATATTCTTTCCACTACACAGTGAATTGTGCCCATAGCTTGCGAACTTTACTATGCATGCTTCAAAGCAAATCCTGACTGCCCTGTGTGAACAGAGCAGTTTACACTAGGTGAGAAGACTCATCACACTTCCATAGACAAGAATGGGCTGGATTCTCCAGTGAAAAGGGAGAACATTTCTATTGTCAGCACTTGCTAAGGCTAACAGGTCTCAAATCACCGGGAGAACATACCTTGTGAGGATGATAAGATTTTTTTTACCACAGGCAATAAAGGAAGACTTGCATCTGGGATGAACTGTCACTTACGGACATCTCTCTCTAGTTTACAAGTCGGGAGGAGTTAGTTTCGACATGGCTCAAAAATGTTCTCATAAGTCAGGGTTGTAATGCAATGCAGGGTGGTTTGGAAATAACAAGCAAAGCAGTATTTAACTCATTACAGGAGAGAAGAGATTCCAGGAAAGGACAGGAGAAACCATGTCTAACAGCAGTGGTGTTAGCAAGGTGTTTATGGAAACCAGCTGATGATGGGGTAGGAAGAGGTACGTCCCCAACTTCATAAACAGTAAACACCAAGGATAAAATTTCTCAGTAGTGACTGATTTTGAGTGCCTTAAAAAGGCAAGTGCCAGGCACCTTCCAGTTGTCACACTGAGCAGCAGAAAAGTTGAGGCTTGACCCAAGGTCATTTGTTACTTCTAGGGCTAGATTTTGAAAGTAGTTGCCTTGACTCACTGCTTTTAAATCACTGATTGGCAGGGCCCTATGCAAGGTAATCTAAGGGGGAAAGGTGTCCGAGAGCGAGGCTTGTACATTAGAAGGGACCATATTACGGCATACAGCAGGCTATTTTGATGTGAAGGAAGAATAGGAAGTGCTGCAAGAGGTCAGCCTGGCTAAACTCTTTAATGAACTGAAACTAAGAAAGGAATCTTACAAAAAAGTGGGAACTTGGTCATGTTACTAGGAAGGAAAAGGAAAGGAGTATAGCAGGGGCATGCAGGGAAAAAGTTAGGAAGGTCAAGGCACAAATTGAGATATAGCTAACAAGGGACAGAAGAGGCAACACAAAAAAAACCAATCCACAAGTATGTTGCAAGTAAGGTGGCAGCCAGGTGGCAGCATAGGTCTCTTCCTAAATGCAGAGGGCAATCTAATCATGGATGATGCAGAGAAGGTTGAAGTATTTAATGCCTCCTTTACTTCGGTCTCCATGAAAAAGGTCCACTATCAGATGACAGTTGGCAGGAAGGCTATAGAAGGAGATGAAT